GCTAAGCTGACGACAACGACGTCGTCCAACGTCGTTGGACCTTGCTAGCTGCTGGCTTGACGTTGATGCTGTCGTCGTTGTAGGATTCAGAAGATTCCTTACTTAATTCAGCTCTTCCAGCCTGCACATTTCATTGATTTGCTTATGAATTGGTTCAACCAATCAAAAAGAACGAGTAGCTGGGCTACGAAGGAGCTTATCCAGGAACTTTTTATTCACTCAATTGACTATTTAATCTTTTACTTTCTTATTTTTGTTTATTATTGTGCTACGATCGTCGTTTTTAAGCCTTTTTTTCTCGACGTCCAACAGTTTTTAATTGTTCTTATGGCCATTCCATATAATTTCTTACGAAGTGTGATGATTTTACTTCTATTTTTCGTCCTTTTTTTTCCATTTTTTATTCGTTTTTCACCGTTTGAAAAGCATTTTCCTTCCTTCTTCAATTGCCATTCTTTTCGTTTTTTTTTCATTACGCAATTCGTCGTGAACTGTCTCTCATCATAACCAAATGATTTCCTTGCGTTCGTTCAGTTACTTACTAGCTTTTCTCTCTTTTTTGTTCTAAATCACCACAATCATGTCTTTTCAATCGTACATAACAGTATTAATCTCTCGGAAAACCAATAGGAAGCACTAGATAAATACCAGGTGCGCGGCTGATCTTCCCGAAAACGAACGAAAGCTGCCCCTTTGGATTCTTCCACCTCCGTCTTCCCCTCATCATCTTCTTCTCCTTCTCCTTCATCTTCTCATCGTTTGTCCTTTTTTTCGTCATTTTCGTTCCTTCTCTTCTCGTCGTTCTGGGGCAACAAAAGCCAGTTGCTTTCATAAATTCATAGCTCGGCATCTTGTAAACCTTATACGCAGAAGTAAATCACCGACTGAAGCCCTTTATTTGTGGCAGTAGTCACAGGTCAAATGACCTATGGATTATTCAAAAATATCATAATAATCTTCTTCGTTCTCTCTCCGTTCCTTCCTCTTTCTCTTTTTCTTCCATCTCCGTTTCGTCTTCTTCAACGAAACGTCGTCGGCAAAAAACGAATGCTGGAGTCTTTCGAATCACTTGTCACATAACCCCTCTGAGCTGTTTTTTTAAGCATTTGCTTTGCATTTTTGTTAGAAAATACACTTTGCTCATTTTGTGCATTCTCTTGCTCATATGATATTCGTTCGTAATCGGCGATGATTCCCGCCTATTCTGGCATGGAATACGTGTGATTTTCTCTAAATTTCCTTATTCATCGTCTGTTCTTCAAAGCCCTTTTTTGGAATGTTGTCCCGTTCAAAAATTGATTTTTCCTTCCTTTTCTCCCTCCCCCCTCTCTCTTCTTCTCTCCTTTTTATATAAAAAGAAAACTTTCTCTGAATGATCAAATATCTTCAAAGATTTTTTCATCCGTCAAAGAGAGAGAGGGAGGAAAAATCAATAAAAATAAGTTGTAGTGGATGTTTTTCGTATTTTGATTATTAAGGAAGAGAGAGAGGATGAAACGTAAATTCCAAGTGAATGCTTTTATAAACAGATGAATATGACAGCTGATTAAAGAATAACGCTGAGGAAAGGTTTGTATGCGTGAAACACAAACTTTCTGTAAGGATGAGCCTCATGAACCATCTCAATTACAGAGGAGTGTAGTGACCCGAATGTCTTGTTCACTTCAGCGAGGGTATCTGACAATTTTGGCTATTTGACATGTTGCAGATTTTGCTTTCTTTTCCTTCTTTAACATTTCCTTATTCGTCTCTTGCGCCGTCGTCTGCTTCTTCTTCTCTCATCAGACCCCCAAAAGCTTTTTAACTTTCTCGAACCCGTCGGCGTCATTGTCGTCGCAAACTTAAGCTGATGTGCTTCGTCGATCTGGGTCCAAGTTCTATATGTACCCCCAAAAGCTTGTCGGTCTTCAGACGAATTTGCCACTTGTCTGATCCTGAGGACTGCCAGCCAAGTCCCTTTGGTTCATCTCTAAACCACACTGGATTTAATCTTTTCATGCATGTGCCGAGAAATCATGCGGTTGTATGAAAAAAAAATCTGTTTTAATAATTTAAATTTAAGAAAGACCCACATGACGATTGTGCGGGAAAAGAATGATAGTTCTACTCGTGATAGGAGACGAACGAAGAAAATTCATGATGAAGAGGAAGAGAAAGAAAAGATGAAGGAACATTTGCCTCATTGACTATTCTGTTTATGTTGTTTACTATATTTGAAAGAAAAAGGGGAAAAAGGAGTACGAGACAGAGTTCATGTGAGAGTTGTGCTTGTAACTCAAGTCGAGCAAGAAGTAGCAAAGATCTGAAAAAATATAAGAATAAGCTGCTTTCTCTCTCTTTCTCTTACACAACCGTTTCTGCTAATCCAGAAAACCAAAATGACGTATTCATGTGAATCTCACGCAATTCACAAGCCACGTATATTACACGTAATTTTCATGCCGTTAAGTAATAGTTCGTGCCAAAAGGTATTTTTGATCGAACGGTATGGCATTTTTGTATTTTTCTTTCGAATTTGCTCCTTTGTTTATTGAAAATCAATATGTAATCACACCTTATAATTAGTGTTCGTTTCTTTCACATTTCTCTACGATTTTGTCGGAAGATTGTCGTTTTTCAGCATCCTCCTTTGTTCATTTCTTTCCTTTGTAAGCAGACATCAGTACCTCTTCGGTTTGAGCATTCAATTGGCATATGTGTCTTTTTTTTGTTTGTTTACCGGTCTAGCCAATTGCCATAATTTAATGAGTCAGTGAGACTGTGGGACACAGTGCTTACTCAAAAAATGCTTTTCCTCTGCGCTTCAGTTCATATTCATTTTGAGCAACGTATGCATGTATGTCCATAGGCATGTGTGTGTGTGTTCTTGCTCCTGCTCCTAGATGAAACGAAGAAGAGCTCTTCCTTTTTGACAACAATTTTTTTGCGAATGCACTTTTTCCTTGGTTGAATAATAATTTTCTTGAGAGGAATGAATGTTTATGTATGTGAAAATTAATTTCTTTGCCAAAGACAGCCGTCTAATTTTGGGAGATGTTGAAAAGCTAAATTTCTATTGAAAAAACTTTGGCAAAAAGTGGTGGCGAAGAGAAGGAGGAATGGAGGGGTGGTGAAAGGAAGGAAAGGAAGAAAGAGAAGTGTATGGAGATGTATCATTGAGGAAATAAATTGTCCAACTTGTTCTCTACTGCTATGAAAGATTATTTTAAATTTTCTTTAAATATTTAAAATAAAAAACAGTTTCTTCTCACTCCTCTCTTCCTCCATCTCCACATATCTCTCTATCTCTCTCTCTTCTATTTTCATTTTTGTTCTCCGCCACACACACAATTCAATTTTAAGAATGTCGCACTTAATTAAGTCAAAATGAACTTTCTTAATCATTCAGGCTTCTTCGTGCTTCTTAAAATCATCTTCCTCATCGATTTTCTTGATTTTTGCTTCGATATTTGATTGTTATTTTAAACAAAAACATATTTTTTTCACAATCAGGTGTGAAGAAGCATCTCTTCTAGCTGATTTCTTCTTATTCAATTCCATCTCAAACAAAAATATTTGTTTTTATGTCTTTTAAACAAACAGTTACTGATTTAACTTAATATTTATTGGAAAAGATTAATGATGATGATGATACCCATGAACGACCGCTCTCAGCTCTTTCATTTAAAAATGATTTTTTCACTTTCGCTCATCTCACACAGACATACTCATCATGCACATTACCTAAGCAATCGATAATTGCAGTGCATTATTAAGATTATGCAAATTTGAATTTCTGAGAATATCGAGTTATGGAAAAAAACAAAAAACTTCATAACGATATGTGTGTGTGTGTGTGTGTGTTGCGTGTGTCTGTGCCTGTGTGTTTGCTTAAATAAAATCAATAATTTATTCCATTTTTATCCTTCTTCTATTTCATTTTTTCCTCTTCTTTTCCAGTTGTACTTATGATTTCTTTTCCTTTTAAGGAAAAATTGATAAAAACATTTCTCTTATGCCTTCTCCCTACAGCCCTTGCATCGTCTTCTCTTTCTGTGCTACTCTCTTCTTTTGTCTTTCTGCCTTTACAGCCCTTGCTTACCGGATTGTTTACTTGGTTTTGCTCATTTTTTCCTGTTTACTTGAGCAAGAGATGGACGAAAAACACTGCGAGAAGAAGCTTTTACACACACATGGACGACGGTTTTTCTCAATTTTTTTGGGTGGGAAAAGTCGCCCAAAAGTGAGACGAAAAAAACAGAAAAAAAAGTGAATTTTCAATAAGAGTTTTTTTCACAGATTTGGAGCCCATATCTGATGCATCTAGTAGCTAAGCAAATCTTTAAAGAGAGAGAAATGGAAAAAAAATCTGTTTTGAAGTGATTTTATGCTGTTTCTTCTCCCTCTTCAAAAGCCTTCCTGTTAGCTATGGCTCTAGCTTGATTCTACAACCTGAGCTGTTCCTTTTCACAGAGTTCCATCCTCCTTCCATCACCATCTTTTTTTCTTCACCCTCTCACTTCCCTCTCTCATTTTCCCTCGTTTCTGATTGGCTTGCTCTTTGTCTCTCTCTCTCTCTCTTTGTCTGTCCCTCCCTCTCTTTATCTTTCTTCCTCTCTCGCAGTATCGTTTCTCTGCTCCATAGTGCCTTCATCGTGGTTGTCCCTATCAGCTAAAGTCAGCAGCTGCCATCTTTCCCTTTACTTTGTGAGGAGAACAGAGGAATTTCCCAGTTTTCTTTAGAGATTTTTGTCAGATGGCAACTAACTAACTCATCGAGGGAGAATCTCAGCAAATTACGAAACTTAATAAAAATAGTTTTAAATTAAAAACAAGGAAAAAATGACAAAATGGTTTTTTGGTTGTTCCAGAAGCCGATTAGCATGAAGCTTACAAATCTTTGAATATTCAATCACTTTTTTCTATCAAATGCACATAAACGATTCTTCTTTCTCTCTTCTCTCTTAAACGCATAATTATAATTTTTTTATAAAATCGATTCCTTTTCAGTTCTAGCAAGTATGATGTCCTCCGCCGAGGAGGAGGACGGCGGCGGAGGTGGCGGAGAAGCCGATCAGGAGCGAGCCGACCTCTGGCAAGCTACATTACAGGTACTGTCGAAGATCTTTTTGTATTTTGTATTGTGTTTTTTCGTTTTTTGAACATAAAATACGTCAATCACACATTTTGAACGTTAATTCGGTGCTCATCGGCCGTATATCGCTTTGCAAGATTCGCATTTGTCTTGATTACCATGACTTTATTTAGAATTAGTCTGCTACTTTTATATAATTTTTTGTAAAAATATATTTGATTATCTATGTGGCGGTCTGTTAACGGATTTACGCACGGAGATTTATTCCTCTTATGGTCATTCAGCTCAAATTTCATTGAAACCCTCTTTCCTTTCCAGTTCTCTGGTTGCTTCATCTATTCTTCTATAGCTTTTCATAAAGTTGTCGTCTAAGATTGTCCTTAGGGTATAAATTTTGGAGAAGAGAAAAAATAAGATTATGTGTGGAAAAAAATTCTTTATTAAATTGAAATCGATGATGATGAAGTTGGCTGACTATAATGGAAGCGCAACAGTCTCATCCAGATTTATGGCTTAATTTTTGGTGCGGGAATAGATATGTTGGAATGAATTTGATTCTTTCAAGTCGTTTTCATATTCAGAAATCTTTGCGGGATGTTTGACAGAGTGTATGTATGTGTGTGTGTATGTAACTTTATATTCATTTAAAAAGTAAAAGATTAATGCAAAAGAATGGAAGTTCATCCATGGCATTTCCTTTTTCTCTCATCTTGATGTCCCATCGCCTTCTTTCTAATCTTGAACCCCATCCGCTGTTCTCTCTTCCTTCCTCTCTTACCCTTTTCTCCTTTTCATAGTAGTGTCACTTTTCCTGCTTCTTCTCAACCTCTCGCTCAATGGAAAGCAAAAATTTAAGAAATATTTGGAGTTTCCTGAAACAGATCGTCTACGGAACTAACATCTTCTAAATGTCCCTAGGGGGTGCACTAGAATTAGATGGATAACCCGATATCTCTTATGCAAATGAATGACTATGATAAGCTAATTGCAATTACCGAGCTATCATAAGAGCTCTTCCTTCAGGAACAGATTACAGTTATGAATATCGTTCGTAATCGCAATGTGTTTATCCCTCCCCAACTTTCCAATCGTCACTTCGTTTTCCACCCCCTCTTGCTTTTTTTTATCTTTGTTTTCCTTGTTATCTCTCCATATCTGTTTTTTCTATTTTTTGCAAACAAAGAAAACAAAACAAGAAGAATAGGTCAAAATCACTCATTTTCTAACGACAAGTCGTACAAAGCCTTCTGGGGTCGTAATATCCGCTTCATTACTCTGCCGGTGGAATGTCGAAGAGCTAAGAAGGAAGAGCATGAGAACACCTCTTATAAGCACATATTGTTACTATTTTTATGAATTGAAGAGGAGATTGAAGAGTTCTTTTTTCATTTATTTGGGTATGCCAAATAGTTCCACTAGCTCAAACAAAAAGATAAACTGCTCTGTGTTGTGAGTAGAACGAGAAAAAATTGCTTGTCGGACTATCCACCCTCACTTCTATCGATCATTATTCCGCTCTAGGGGGGGGGAGGGGGTACTCTCAGCTTCAATCGTATGCTAGAGCATAAACGAATTTGGGCCCACCCTCGCTTTTCAATACTTCTCTCTTCCACAACAAAGCTGACGTTGCAAATGCTGAAAGCACTAGAGACGCACACAGTTATGAATGTCTAACTAACCCATGAAATTCTATGTTAATGAGAGTGAATATCCGAAATGTCACGAAGTATATCGAAGCTGATGTGTAAAGGAATAGAAAAATTTAATTTCTTTGCTTTCAGGCCGCCGTCCAGAATGCCATCGACCCGACGAAAAAGCGTCCGCAAACACGGAAACCGCTGCGACAAACCAACGTCGTCGAACGGTATAATAGCTTGATGTACAAAAAGAATTTAATTCATATTATATACAGATCCGAGCGATCTTTGCTGTGTCTGTCGTTATCAAATCCGATCCGTAAACTATGCATAACAATCGTCGAATGGCGGTATGTTTCACTTTCTATTTATTAATGAGTTCCGTATAGAGCATTATGAGCCTGATATTGTGTGTGAGAGCAATATATGCAGATTGATAGAGAGAGAGAGAGAGAGAGTTGAATGTAAGCTCAAGTTGCCGTTTGAAAGAAAAAAAAATCAGTGTTTCTCTTTGGTTACATCGCTGATTTCGTTACGAATGCTTTCTTGATTTTATTTTCTCCTTGTTGGACTTTTTCTTCTTCTCTCTTTCTTTTTTTCATTTCGTTCGAATCATGAAGATAAAGCTTCAGTAGTTTAACAATCTCCGAATGCGATTCGCATCCAATGTTTCAAATCAAGGAAAATGGGGAAAGAAAAGTCATCTTAAATGAAAAAAGATGGAATAAAGAGAAAGATAAATGAGAAATGAGAGAGATAGTGAGCTCACACAACCGTTCTGGACACTTGATGGGAAATAAATGAGCTGTCGCTTCCACGTCTCACGTCGACCCACGTGAAAATTAGAAAATTAAGTCCTCATGAGCTTGAAATTGCATTGAAAAAGCATATCTTAAGATGAATGCATTGAATTAGGGAAGAAGCTATGAAATTAATTATTTGTTCTTCTTTCAGACCTTTCGAATTTCTGATTCTTTTAATGATATGTGCCAATTGTATAGCTCTAGCCGTCTATCAGCCATATCCAGCTCAGGACTCTGACTCTAAAAACACTATATTAGTAAGTTAATATATTTATAATACAATTATATAATGTTAACTATATTCAGGAACAAATAGAGTATTTATTTATTGTTGTTTTTACAATAGAATGTATTTTAAAAGTGGTAGCATTGGGCTTTCTATTTCATCCAGGTGCTTACTTAAGGAACGCTTGGAACGTTCTCGATTTTATAATTGTCGTTATTGGGTAAGACATACAATATATATATATTCAAATTACTAACTATATTATAATATCAGACTTGTGAGTACAATATTATCACGTATGAACATCCAAGGTTTCGATGTGAAAGCCCTTAGAGCATTTCGTGTGTTACGTCCTTTACGTTTAGTATCTGGAGTTCCTAGTAAGTATCATCTATCTCATTCTTGTTATCAATTATAATATTTTTCAGGTCTTCAAGTTGTGTTGAATGCAATTCTTAGGGCTATGATTCCCCTGTTACATATTGCTCTATTAGTTCTATTCGTGATATTAATTTATGCTATCATTGGATTAGAACTGTTTTGTGGCAAATTGCATTCCACATGGTATTCATAGTTTTCTTTTTACACTTTTCTAATTTTAATATTCATTGAAGCATTGATCCAGCGACAGGTCAACTTGCTCAGAAGGATCCAACGCCTTGTGGTAATGTAGGCTCCGCTTTTCATTGCCAACCTTCGGATTCCCTATCACAAATGGGTGTCCAATGGGTTTGCTCATCAAATACATCATGGCCAGGTAGTTTGGCTTTTGCTCTACTTTTCTTATTCTTCTTCTTAAGGACCAAATAATGGCATCACAAATTTTGATAATTTTGGATTAGCTATGCTTACAGTTTTCCAATGTGTATCATTAGAAGGTTGGACAGACGTCATGTATTGGGTAAGTCAATATCCTTATCTCTAATTCTCATGTTGATGTTTAAGGTAAATGACGCTGTCGGCCGTGAATGGCCATGGATATATTTTGTAACTCTCGTTATCCTGGGTTCATTTTTCGTACTTAACCTCGTTTTGGGAGTTTTGTCCGGAGAATTCTCTAAAGAACGAGAGAAGGCCCGTGCTCGAGGTTTATTTCAAAAGTTTCGAGAGAAACAACAATTGGAAGAAGATCTCAAAGGTTTATCTTCAGTTTTTTTCTCATAACACATAACTTATTTACAGGTTATCTGGATTGGATCACCCAAGCTGAAGATATGGAACCTGTGAACGAAGATGAGCAGGAAGAAGAACAAATTCCTCAAGGTACTGTGAGACTCTTAGTTTTTCTTAACATTTTCTTTCTTAAGACGGTGAACAAGAAGAAGAAGGAGAAGAGCGAGCAGAAGAACAACGCCCAACCTTATGGAAGAAACGTTTCAAAAGAATAGAAAAATGGAATAGAAGATGTAGGCGTGTGTGTAGACGTCTAGTTAAGAGTCAATCATTCTATTGGCTTGTCATTTTGTTGGTGCTTTTAAATACCCTAGTACTATCCTCAGAACATTACGGTCAATCAGAATGGCTGGATAACTTCCAAAGTAAGCTTTCAACCATTTTCATGAAATAATCTTCTCTTTTAGCTATGGCCAACTTATTTTTCGTAATTCTGTTCTCAATGGAAATGCTTTTGAAGATGTACACTCTCGGCTTTACCACATATACAACATCACAATTCAATCGTTTTGACTGTTTTGTTGTTATTAGGTTAATAGTCAATTTGAAGTATTAAGCTTAATGTCATGGTTTTCAGTTCAATTATTGAATTCGTACTAGTTTACTTCAATTTGATGAAGCCTCTTGGAGTGTCTGTGCTTCGATCTGCACGTCTTCTTAGGATATTTAAAGTTACAAAGTAATTCACTTCTGATTCATTTTCCAAGCATCAAACTCTATCAAATACAGATACTGGACATCTCTACGAAATCTTGTTTCTTCCTTATTAAATTCACTGAGATCCATCATGTCTCTGCTACTGCTGCTCTTCTTGTTCATTGTTATCTTTGCGCTGCTGGGTATGCAGGTGGGTTCACGTTTTCACGTTTTCCACGCTAAACCACACTCATTCTCTTTCATTTTTAATCACATGAAACGATGTGCGGTTGTTCACGTGCTAATTCGTGTAAGCTCTTTACTCACTTATTCGTTTTAGGTATTTGGTGGAAAGTTCAACTTCAATCCTCAACAACCAAAACCACGTGCTAACTTCGATACTTTCATTCAATCATTGCTCACAGTGTTCCAGGTATTCTATGAAATTGATTCTTATCATTCATATATATTTTTTTTCCTTCAAGATTCTTACTGGTGAAGATTGGAACACAGTTATGTATAATGGTATAGAGTCATTTGGTGGCGTAGGAACTTTGGGTGTTATCGTATCCATTTACTTCATTGTTCTGTTTATCTGTGGTAACTACATTCTGTTAAATGTTTTCTTGGCTATCGCTGTCGATAATCTCGCCGATGCTGATAGTTTAACGAATGCTGAAAAAGAAGAAGAACAACAAGGTAAACCAATTGACGTTGACAGATATATGTACATGAATTAATTAGATGGTGATGAAGACTTCGATGCCGAAGAAGAAGAAGCAGAAGGCGATGATGAAGGAGAAGAAGGAGAATGTGGTGAAGATGAAATGGTAACAGCTCGACCACGACGAATGAGCGAAGTTCAGTCAGCAACGACTGTCAAGCCAATACCAAAAGCTTCCTCATTATTCATTCTTAGTCACACTAATCCATTTCGGTAGACCTTTTTTTTTCTTGCATCAATCTATTTTTTCTTATTTTCAGAGTATTTTGCAATAAAATTGTCAACCACTCGTACTTCACCAACAGCGTCCTCGTCTGTATCTTGGTTTCCTCTGCTATGTTAGCAGCTGAAGATCCATTGGAAGCCAATTCTAGTAGGAACACGGTAACTCATTTCATCTCGTTTGTCTGTTCATATGCCTTTTATAGATTTTGAACTATTTCGATTATTTTTTCACCACCGTATTCACAATTGAAATTACGTTGAAAGTTGTTGTGGATGGACTTGTCTTTCACAAAGGATCCTTCTGTCGCAATGCTTTCAACTTACTGGATATTCTTGTCGTGGCCGTATCCCTAATCTCTTTCGTGCTCAAATCTGATGCCATTTCCGTGGTTAAGATTCTTCGGTACGCTTATAAGGCTTATTATCTTTCAACTCCTTCTTTCCAGTGTCTTACGTGTGTTGCGTCCTTTACGTGCTATCAACAGAGCTAAGGGTCTCAAGCATGTCGTCCAATGTGTTATTGTAGCTGTCAAGACTATCGGTAACATTATGTTGGTTACGTTCATGCTGCAGGTTAGTGATTCAACTCTTTCCCTTCAATAGTGTTGCCTTATTTTCAGTTCATGTTTGCTATTATTGGAGTACAGTTATTCAAAGGAACTTTCTTCTCATGTAACGATTTATCCAAGATGACGGAAGCCGAATGTCGGTGAGTATCATTTCGAAGTCACGTCGCTCTGATTAGCACAACTATGGTAATTGGCATAAGCTATATGCTGATTGTTTTCAAATCTTGCCAATCTGTTTTGAAAACTATTTCATTTTGAGCTAAACATGCCAACTGAGCGGCTGTATATTTTCTTATTCGTCATAATCATTCTACTCTGTTCAGTGGTGAATATATACATTATGAGGATGGTGACCCGACTAAGCCTGTCTCTAAAAAACGGGTCTGGACCAATAATGACTTCAATTTTGATAACGTTGGTGATGCTATGATTTCATTATTCGTCGTCTCAACATTCGAAGGATGGCCAGAGTAATCTCAATCATGATATGTTTTTTCCTACTTAATACATTGCAGTCTTTTGTATGTGGCTATCAATTCGAACGAAGAAGATCGTGGTCCCGTTCATAACTCTCGTCAAGCTGTCGCCCTGTTCTTCATTGCCTTCATCATTGTCATCGGTATTTTTTTCACTATTAGGTACAGTATACATTGTTCCTTTTCTAGCTTTCTTCATGATGAACATATTCGTCGGTTTCGTCATCGTTACTTTCCAAACAGAAGGAGAACGTGAATACGAAAATTGCGAATTGGATAAAAACCAAAGGAAGTGTATAGAGTTCGCTTTGAAAGCAAAACCGCATCGGCGTTATATTCCACGGAATCGATTCCAATACCGCGTTTGGTGAGTTCAAACTACAAATCATATATTTTATTGTATACTTACAGGTGGTTTGTAACTTCGAGGGCATTCGAATATGTTATCTTCTTGATTATCGTATTGAACACCATATCTCTTGCGTGCAAGCATTATCCATCAGGACCAACATTTGAGAACGTGCTAGATATATTAAATTTGGTATTCACTGGAGTTTTTGCGTTCGAAGCTGTTTTCAAAATAATTGCTCTGAATCCCAAGAATTATTTCGGCGATCGATGGAATGCCTTCGATTTCGTTATCGTTCTTGGATCATTCATTGACATTATTTATGGAAAGCTGAACCCCGGAGGTAAGCATGTTTACCGTTTTTCTAACCATACTGGCATCTTTTTCAGGATCCAATCTCATTTCCATCAATTTCTTCCGTCTTTTCCGAGTTATGCGTTTGGTCAAACTGCTGTCTCGTGGAGAAGGTATCCGTACACTGCTTTGGACTTTCATGAAAAGTTTTCAAGTAAGGCTCTATGCTCATGAACATTGAACACTAATAATTTTCTAGGCTTTGCCATATGTTGCCTTACTCATCGTTCTACTCTTCTTCATTTATGCTGTAATTGGAATGCAAGTGTTCGGAAAGGTCGCATTGGATGATTCCACCCAAATCCACAGGAACAACAATTTCCATTCATTCTTCGCTGCTGTTCTTGTTCTATTCCGTTCAGCTACAGGAGAAGCTTGGCAAGAAGTCATGCTTTCATGCTCTGATCGCGAAGATGTCCGTTGTGATCCTTTATCCGATGATTTCAAGCGGGATCCGACAGCCAGATGCGGAGTTAACTTTGCCTACCCATACTTCATATCGTTCTTCATGTTGTGCTCATTCCTTGTTATCAACTTGTTTGTTGCTGTCATTATGGATAACTTCGATTACCTCACACGAGATTGGTCAATCTTGGGACCACATCATTTGGAAGAGTTTGTCCGATTATGGTCTGAATACGATCCAGATGCTAAAGGAAGGATTAAACATTTGGATGTGGTTACATTGTTACGTAAAATCTCGCCACCTCTCGGATTCGGAAAGTTGTGTCCTCATCGTTTGGCTTGCAAGGTTTGTTATATATTATTCAATAAACAATTTAATACTGCCTTACTTTCAGAGATTGGTATCTATGAACATGCCTTTGAACTCTGACGGTACTGTCTGCTTTAATGCAACTTTATTCGCTCTTGTTCGAACCAATTTGAAAATCTATACCGAAGGAAATATTGATGAGGCCAACGAACAGTTGCGATCTGCTATTCGACGCATTTGGAAACGAACACCTATCAGAATGCTCGACGAAGTCGTACCACCTGCAGGAAGTATATACATTTTTAGAAGCAAATATGTATTCTATTCGTTTTGCAGAAGAAGATGATGTTACAGTCGGAAAGTTCTATGCAACTTTCTTGATTCAGGATTATTTCCGTCGTTTCAAGAAACGCAAAGAACTGGAAGCAAAGGGAATAGTGCCAACGCAAACTCCTCAAGCTATGGCTCTTCAAGTAAGTTTACTCACTTTCTTACTCATTAACTTTCCAACTACTTCCTCTTGTGGTACTACAAAGAGAATAGTTGAATTAATTCATATCGAGATTCTTGCATGTTTGCCTTCGATTAATTCTGGCGCTGATGGTCATGAAATTTCGTAGAAACACTCATTGCTGAGTTGTTGGAGAATATTATTTTTGAAATTTTAGTTTATCTAGAGAGAGTAGTTTGTTTCATTAATAAATTAGGCGCTTGCCTTGAAGCCTATTTTGAAGTAAAAATCTTTAGCAATGATGCTTCACACTGCAATATTAGGTCATTCTGTGTTGAGAAGCCATCCTCATCTTTGCTTATTTCACATTCTCCCACTCATTGTCAGCAGGTTCTTTCTCCATATCCGCCCTCTGTTTTCTCACCAACAAACTACATTTCGTTCGGAAAAAGTAATGAAGGTTACAACTAATGCAGTTCGAAACTTGCTCCGAGAAAGCACCTTTTGCCATCAACACAATCATTTTCTCTCGTTTTCTCTCTTTTTTTTGTCAACCAACATCTTACTCGTTTATAGTTTATTACTTAAGCTCAATGACCCTTTTTAAACTTTTAGCAATTTGTTTTCTACGTCATCTTAGTAATTTCTGAACTGAAGTTGCTTCCAAGACTTGCTGCTGCTCATTTGCTATTTATTAGTTTGTCTTTTGCTCTTTTGATATAAAATGTCGAAACAGCAGCAGTAGCAGCAGCAGCAGCAGCAGCAGCAGCAGCAGCAGCAGCATCAGAACCAGTAGCAGTTCAGAAACAAAAACTTTGCCCAAAAAGAAAAAGTTCCAACATACAAAACATATTTTCGCTTTTCTCGTCCTCATTATCTTCTTAACCATAGCATTAGCGAAGTATGTTTAAAAACTTTATTCACAGCATTAACAGAACTTGACGTTCTGATTGTAGCTGACCTTTCGCTTAATCCATTCTCTGTACGAGATGATCATGAAATTAGAGACGCCTTTAATGACTTTATGTTTATTTTCTAAGCTTAGATCAAATTTCTTCATTTTCAAATCACATAGCTTGAGCAATCGCGATTGTCTAGCATATTGTGAGCCGTTGCTTGGGACACATTGCTTCGATAATAATTCTTTAGCTCCAACTTAAATGAACCTCATTCTGAGCATCTTATTCAATCAAGCCTTTCCCTCTATACTACTTAGCCTATTGTTACATTTCCTTGTTCAATCGTCAGCCCTGCTAGGTTGCTAACACGAAAAATTACTTGGAAAACATGTAAAATCCGTAACCTTCTGCGAATATGTTCCTTCTTTTCAAACCTTTCTTGATCTACCTCTGTTGTTCTTGCAATCTATGAAAATAAGTTTCAAGTTTCCCTCAAACAGAGCAGCAAAGCAGATGTTGTCCATCAGGGGTAGCTTCTGGTTTCCTACATTTCTGAGTAGTTGTCCCATCTGAAATTCGTAAAACTTGAATGTCTTCCGTGTTTTGATGAATTCGCAGATTTTTTTTTGTTGTAAAAATGTTATTTTTGCCTGAACGAATTGGCAAAGAAGAAAAAAAAAGACACAATTGGGTCTCATCTGGACGGTCGTCTCCGAAAAAAAAAATTATTTTATTTTTTAGACAAAACACATACACACACTTTGCTCGTATACTATGTTTTGATGACCTTTTTTGAAACAATTCTTCTTACTTGTATCTCATTTGCTTCTTCTATTTCTCGCGACCAGCTTTTGCCTCCCTCTCCCTCCCCCATTTTTTCTTCTTCTTTGGGTTAGGTTCGTCTCACAGCTCACCCACCATCAGGCGCATTCCTTACGAATTCAATTTGTTCACAAACGACGGCTTTAAGCATTTATTATACTGCTATTTGAAGAAAAAAATGATTAGAATCACATGGATGACATTGCTCAGTGCTCGTTTAGTTTTAATTAAAATTCATCAATTTTCCATTGCTGATTTCTATTGTTGCTGTCCAAGTTCGTGCGACACTTTCTTCATTCTCTCTCTCTATCTATCTCTCTCTCTCTCTTCACGATTAATAATCCATAAAAGGACAGAGTTTCAATAAAAGACTCTGTCGTCTTCTCTTCTTTTGATTCATTTCCATCTTTATCTTCCTTTTTTGCTGACGAATCTTCCTATTGGAAACGCCCACCAAATTAGTTTTGTTACTTTCGGCTATCCTCCTTTGCGCATCTATCCCTCTCTCTCTCTCTCTCTCTCTGTCTCTCCGTCTCTCTCAAAATAATTTTCAAAGAAATCAACAGAGCAAACAAGTTCCCAAAATTTTCATGTTAATGACTTTAAACGTTACAATGTGCCCAAAAAAGGAGAATATAAGCATGATTACTTTATTTTTTTATATTTCATATATTCAAATGATTATTCTTAATTTCAGGCTGGTTTACGTACTCTCATCGAGATCGGACCAGAATTGAAACGAGCTATTTCTGGAAATTTGGAGACGGATTTCCATTTCGACGATCCCGAACCACAACATCGAGTGAGTTTTCTGTTCCTAGTCAGTCTTCTCCATCTCAATCACCGAGATATCACCTCTTTTTTTTCAAATTTTTTCAATTTTCGGCACATTTCCTATCTATTTCCGCACATTTCATCTTTCGCACAAAAGCACACCCAGCACCTACTGAGCTTTTCAATCTAAACCACACATTTTTCTGAGTTGAATGAAAAAAATTTTCTGGTTGGATGAAAATAATTTTCTTCATAACAGAAGATCGTTTCGCTATCCTGAGAAATAGAAAATTAAATTGTATTTTCTTAATCCGAGTTTTGCCCATATCTGTCACTCCTATCGCAGCTTCATTCCTCTCTAGCCTCCCATTACTTTAACCGAAAAAAATGCGAAACGAAGAAGTTAGAAAAAAACGAGATTGTGCCTCTAGCGTTAGTAATGGTCGACATCGTTGCCGAGATCCTTCTTCTCTTTCCCGTTAAAGTAATTCCAGAGAATTGTCCCACAGTTTTTTATTCACTTTTTTTTCTTCGTTATAAGAAGCTCAACGTAAATTTAAGTCGCATTCAGTAATTTTTCATGTGCGTCAGAAAATGCCGACTAGGTGGTATTAAAGACAATTCTCTCTTTTCCATAACGGCGCTGCTAGTAATCCCCGCTACTTTGAAACGATTGACTTCAGTTTGTTGCTTTGAAGCAAAACTTTATAGCTGAGAAACACTTTTCTTCTGGCCTCTTAATTGGAGGCAACGAATAGAAGAAATTCATGTAAATCTTCTTGTCGCTTCTCAACCCCTCTCTTCTCTGATTTTTTGACTTCTATGCCCCGGCGAAAAGTAAGATAATTACATGCAAATGGCTGTTTTCAAAATGCTTAAGCAGACTTTCTGATAAATCTCTCAGAATATCTGTTAGTCTTCATTTTTTGTTGTTATTGCGAAAAAAATCATTATTGGTTGTTTAGTTTAAGCAATACTGCGATTTGCTGAGGACCTCCTGGTCTACGGTATGAATCTTCATCCATCGCAACCATATTAATCATAATTAATTAGCATTCTTCATATTTGCAAAAAAAAAAACAAACAAAACAAGAACTTCCTCAATATATGCATTATTACAATCTATTGATATGAATTAGCATAATTATGAAATCATTGTCACTTTTTGACGCACGTGAAGCCCGTGAAAGCTGCCTGAAGATGAATGAAATGTTTCATTTTTGAAAATCCGTATAAGAGAACGGTTGCATTCTCTATTCTTGATCTAGTTGTTTCATCATCTTCACGGCAAGTTCATTTAAAATGTATTTTATTTTGGTTTTGAAGCGATAAAAAGTGACAATAGGCACGTTATTTACTGATATGAGATTAATGATTCATACTATCATCATACATATGCGACCATATATATAGGAATAGATAGATAGAGATAGTTACATAACCTCATACTCTCATTCTATCTATATCTTGCCTTAGCTAACAATAGATATCTTATTCTTCTTTAAGAATAGGACATGCACAACCTGCTCATGTTTATTAAACTTTTCCATTCGTCCTATCTTTCCTCTCACTTTACCCGCCCTCTTCTAAATTTTAAATTATTTTTAATGTTTCTTCCAACTCTCCACCAACTAACTGGATGTCAAATATTATTTGATGCAATACAATGCCATTACCCTCACCACCACAACCGACTCTTTCCTATTTACAATGTGGTTTTGCTATATTCAATACATTCCATAGATTGTTGAGCATAATATTGTTTTTCCAGAGAACTCATTCACTTTTCAACAATATCGTCAGCCGATTTTCTGGCTCCAGATCTCCTTCTGACGTTGGTTCACACGAACGACCTTCATACCGTAAGAGATTCAATTTTTCATGCTCCTATATATGCATATTTGTAGATAAATCTTCTGAAGCACAGTCTCCAATGAGTGACGGATGCTTACCGACTCAATCGCTTATCCCTCCGTCCCATAGTAACGGGGGAGCTCGACGGTAATTAACTGAAACAGAAGTTCATTACTCATCTTTTTTTTTCAGATTACCATTCATACCACCTTATACCAACCATATACAAGATGAGTCTGATCGCATTCGAGATACGGGTACAAGACCAGGCATAGATCAGCATAATCGGTTAATAATAGCTAACAGAAAGTACGTTGTTCTCAGTTTTTCCTTTGACTATGTCTTCAAACAATGTTTTAGTACCTCCTCTATTGAAAATGGAATTTATTTATTTATCTGAATATTATTTCAGTATGCCAAACGAGACTGATGATGAAGAAGACTGGATGCGAATGAGGGGACGACCAGTAGCTGAACGTCGTTTATTACCACCTATCACCCAGCCTATGGATATGGCTACCAGTCAAGCTCTTGTCATGGCCGGTACGTCATTCTTCGTTGATTCGATAGTTATCTATATATTACAGGAATGTCATCTGAAGCTTTTGA